TGTGTTGTGTCTAAGTTCTTGTGCAAGTTAAAGTCTTATTGTCGTAATAATTGTTATCCGGAAGGATTAACTGCTGAAGGGTATTTGGCAGAGGAATGCATGACATTTTGTTCTAGATGTTTGGAAGATGTTGAAACAAGATTGAATAGACCAAATAGAAATGATGTGTTCATTACTAATGACTTAGCTGAGACTTATTTGTTTTGAAGTTATGGTGAACCACTCGACAAAGTTGAAATTGCATATAGATGATAAGTCTTGGGTACAAGCACACCGATATGTTTTTTTCATCACGATTCAATAGATCCTTTTTGCACTTAAGTTTTACAGACTAAATCCTAATGTATTTACTTAATCTTTTATATTTCTCATTCTTTAACGACATAATATATATTTTATAATAAGTTTAAAGAAGTCTTGAGATCTAGTGCACGCTCCCGAAGATTACATCAGTGAGAGATACATAAGTTATTCATAGAAAGTTTTCATGAATGGTTAGGACAGACTGTAAGAAACTAAATCATTGCACACAGTTGTAAATAATATATAACTCTTGTTTTAATATATCGACATAAATGCTAATTAATTCACCTTTCACGATACGTGTAAATAGGTTTGGAGTGGGAGAGAAGTTAGTGAAGATGTTAAATGGATTTCTCAAGGTTCGAATAGAATTGTTAAAAGATATAATGCCTTCCTCATTAATGGGTTTAGGTTCCACACGAAATCTCGTGAAAGATTAAAGATGACATAAAATTGTGGAGTAGTTGTTACTTCTTCAACTACAAGTTATGCTAGTACCAGGGACAATCATCCTTTGGAGGGAGATGTAGAATATTATGGAATTCTTACGGACATTATTGAGTTTGATTATTATGTAAAATGAAAGGCTGTGTTGTTTCGATGTGACTGGGTTGATGTAAACACTACTCGAGGCATGAAAAAGATAAATATGGTTTTACAATGTTGAATTTCTCTCGATTAATTCACAATGGTCATTGATTAATGGATGAGCCATATATATTTTATTCTCAAGTCAAATAGGTTTTTTACTGTCATGATCTAATAGATGAGGGTTGGTATGTTTTGCTCTGTAATACCTCTAGAGACTTGATAGACATCGGGGATGGAAGTAGAGATGACATTGAAACAAGATCATAATCTTTACCTTTTGTAGCACAAAACTTAGATAAAACTATCACTAATACTACACAATTTCAATGGGTTCGGGAGGACGTGGATAAAGATATTTATGAGAATTGATATGACATAAGAATATAGTAAGATTTTATATATTAATTTATTAATTTATAATATTATAAGTTATAACATGTTGTCCTTCAATATATTCATTAATAGTAATATTTTCACAAAAATTGTTGTTTGTTTATTATAGATATCATGCCTAGAAGAAAATTAAGTGATTTGCGGATTGTTTGAGCTTCTCAAGAGGAGGAAGAAACAAATAATGAGGAATTGACTGTTGTTAATTCTTCAGAAGTTCCAATTATTGTTGAAGAAACTATAGAAATTGAAGGTAATGTTCGACAATTTCTTTAATTGTTGGTTTATTTTAAAAACTTACATTTAATTATTTCTTATATAGTTGAAAATGGTCGAACACACAAGATTAGAGGACATACAACGTTGAAGGAATCATATCAACTTTCTCCTGGTCACCGTGTAAAAGTATCAAGAAATGATATAGGCCAACCTATTGGCCCAGAAGCACATCTTCTATCCGGTTACTTAGGCATGGTTGCACGTAATGCTAATCTTTTACCGATCAATTATGAGTCATGGCATGATATGCCAAATAGTAACAAAAATCAGGCTTTGGATTTTTGTTAAGGTAATAATATCATTATAATAGATAATCCATAACATTTCAATAGTAATTTATACTTACTTTGAACACTTATGTTATTTGTAGGAGAAATTTTCTTTAGAGGTATTAGACGATTATTTGAAGTAAGAGTTAAGGAATAGAAAGAGAGACCAAAAGAGTTCATTAAAAAGAAATACTTCAAGAATGATCTCAGCCTTAAAGAGAAGTTGCAAACTGTCCCACCTGGAATGCTCAAGTATCAATGGGAAGATGCAGTCAGGTTTTTGAGTTCAAAGAAAGGACATGTACAATGTATTTTTCAAAAATAATATAATGCCATTATAATATTGACTTTATAAGTAAATATTTAAAATTGTAGGATTTAGAGCATGTTGGTGTTGTTAGCAAACAACAACAAAAGTTTACTCTTACAGCTGGATCGAAGATCTTTGCTTGTATAGATAATGAAAATTAGTTATATTATTAATTTATTTTTTGCAAGACTTGATTTTTATTATACATTATAGGAAAATACATCTGGTTGTAAAGTTGGATGAATAAAGCTCTTCGACATGACACATACAAAAAAGGATGGCACTCAATGCCTGATGAAGCTGTAGAAATTATGGTACATTTATTCGACACAAGATTTTAATTATGTTATATTTATATCTATAGTATGACATTCTTATTTAAAATAATTATTGAATTGGTTATTAGGAAAAATTGAGGAATAAAAGGGAAGAGTATGAAGCTACGGCTTCAAGTCATGGTATTGTTAATGTGGATGACATTGAAAATCAAGTTATTAATGAAGTTTTGGATCCTGAAAGATATGGTCGGGTTTGTTGTCAAGGATTATTCATTACTCCCACCAAATATTTTGGATCCAGTTCATCTCAGTACATGTCATCACAGAGTCAGTCTTCCCAATTAGAAGTTAGTCATTTAAAACACCAGTTGGCTGAAATGGATAAAAAAGTTTCTCAAATGAAAGTAAAAAATGAAGCTAGGAAAGCATAGAGAGAAGCATCATACCAGCAAAAATGTTAAGACTTTGAAAATCGACTTGAAGTTATGATGCAAATGACACGATAAAATCAACCTCAGATTCCACCATCTTAGGTGTTATTTTATATATATGCTTTGTTCATTCTAGTTAACAATGTTGAACTGCATTATATTTTACGTTAATGTAAACATTGATTTATTATTATGGATTTCAAGTTGGTTGTTATGGATTTCAAGTTTGTTGTTATAGATGCCATGTTTATTTTTTTTTTGGATAAGTTAAAATTTTATTATCCAAATAGAGAAAGTACAATACAACTCAATCAAAGATCAAAGAAAGCTAATTACAACAAAATAATGGTTAACCAATACCCCAATTGGTACAAAGTTGCATATTAACAAAATCATGTCTGTTAAGCTCTCTATTTCTAAGTAGAGAACCAACAATCTCCTTAATAGCAATGAGAAAATCATCCATTGTTCTAGCTCTACCTTGAAATAAGCGTCTATTTCTTTATTCCCAAACAAAATAGATGAAAGAGCTCCAAGCAATCTTCAAAATAGAGGAGAGAAGAGATTTACCTTTCCAACAAGAAATAGCCCAAGCAAGCTTAATATGCCAAGACATATGAGGCTTGGTTAAGAGTGAAAGATGCAGAATTCTATTCCAAAGGGAATTAACCATAGCACAATCAACAAATAAGTGATTTCTTGTTTCCATGCCCTTATTGCATAAAACACAAGAACCTTCAGTGGTTATCCCCATTCGAATGAGTCTTTCCCGAGTGGCAAGAAGATCAAGAATTTTCATCCAAGTGATGATACTGAATTTTGGGACATGAAAGGAAAACCAGATTAATTTGTGCCAATGAACTTTTTCCTTTTTGATACAAACCTCATTCTAAATATCATTACTTTTAATAATTCATGCTTTGAGAATAGGGATAGCCTCGGCTTTCATGTTGAGCAAACTGTTAAAAGAGTAGTTGTATGTAGCACTCGTAGTTATCTGAAGAAAATCATTGGATTTAATAACATAGGTGTAAATCCAAGCAATCCATAAGGATCTTGTACCAGCAAGAAGGTTACAGATAAGTTGAAACATGAAGACTTTATTCCAGGTTATTAAGTCTTTAAGACCCAGCCCACATTCAGATTTAGGGCAGTAAATATTGCCCCAACTTACTCTAGCACCATTGGCAGTAGAGTCAGTGCCTTCCAAAGAAATCTAGAACAAAGCTGGTTAATCTTATTGATAACACCTTTAGGAAGCAGAAATTGTTTGCACCAGAAGTTTGCTATACTTTGGAGGACAGTTTTGACAAGTTCAAGTCTTCCTGCATAACTAAGATGTTTCCTAGACCATTGATGAATCCATAGTCTGATTTTGTCAATAAGAGGAGTACAATCATTAGCAGTTAATTTTTTGGTGATAAGAGGGACCCTGAGATATCTCACTGGGAGAAGTCCATTTTTGAATCCAGTAGAAGTAAAGATATTATAAAGGTTCCTTGGATAAATTCCAGCAGCAAAGAGATCAAATTTGGCTGCATTAAGATGAAGTCTTGACATTTCATAGAATTGGTTAAGGATAGAGATAACTCCTATGACAGATTCTAAGTTGCCTTTTGCAGAAGATAAGGAGGTCATCCACAAAAGTTAAATGAGTAAGTCCAATTTTTTTGCATTTTGGATGATATCCAAATAAGCCTCTGGCAGCAACAGTATTTAACATATTAGAAAGGATGTTCATGGCAAGAACAAAGAGGATAGGTGATAGGGGATCACCTTGTCTAAGGCCCTTTTTACCTTTGAAATAACCTATCAAAGAGCCATTAAGAGAGATAGAGTATCTAGCTTGAGTGAAGTAAACTTTAATCCAAGCAGAGAATTTAGAAGGCAGGTTAATGGCTTCAAGAATTGAAGAGATAAACCCCTAATGAATAGAATTAAATGCTTTTTGGAGATCAATTTTAATAGCACATCTTGGAGAAATGTTTTTCCTCCCATAGCCTTTGACAAGTTCTTGGGCAAGAAGGTTGTTGTCAATGATATTTCTGCCTTTGACAAAGGCAGTTTGGTTAAGGGTGATGATACCAGGAAGAATAGAGGTCAGTCTTTTAACCAGAATCTTCGTGATGGATTTATAGATGACAGTGCATCAAGATATTGGTCTATAGTCTTTAACCTTGCTAGGATTGGAGCTTTTTGGGACCAAGGCAATAATGGTTGAGTTAAAGGCTGGAAGAAGAAAAGAACTGCTAAAAAAATATTTGACTGCTTTGATGACATCCTCACCAACCACTGACCAACATAATTTAAAGAATAAAGGAGTGAAACCATCTGGACCAGGTGCCTTGTCATTACCTTGACTAAAAATAACATCTTTTATTTCCTTAGAAGTGATATCTTTGTCCAATTCAGCAGAATTTTCAGGAGATAAATTATACTGAAGAAGGTTTTTAAAAAATTGATGGTCACTGTCTCTGATAAGTGGGTTAGCTTTTCCCAAAAGGTTTTTGAAGTATTGAATGATTTCAGAGGAAATATCATCAAAAGTCTCAAGTCTACAGCCTTGTTCATTCTCTAAAATTCTTATTGTATCTCTTTTGTTCTTGGAAGCAATGATAGAATGATAGAATTTTGTGCATTTATCACCTTCCTTAAGCCATTGAACTTTGGCTTTCTGTTTTAGAAACTGATTTTCTGCTACTTCAAGGGCTGTCAGTTCAGTCTGTAGTCTAAGTTCAGAGTCAATGGAACCAATTCTGTGCAGAGTAGAGAGTTGAAATTGTTCTAGTTCAGCTTTCTTTTGCTTGACCTTTATGGAAATATTACTAAAACATTCTTTGTTTAAAGTCTTCAGACTTGTTTTCAATCTTTTAAGCTTGTGGAATAGGGACATCATAGGGTTACCATGAACAGTTTGCTGCTAAGAATTATGGACTTCATTAAGAAAGTTTGGATGTTTGGTCCAAAAGTTAAAAATTTGAAGGGTTTAGGGTGATTAGTAGAATCTTGTTAAGCCAAACAATGGCCATGTAGTGGTCAGATGGCTTAGGGGCTACAAATTCCACAAAAAAGTTTTTATAAGTAGTGATCCAATTGGAATTAACAAGCACTATGTCAAGTTTTCTAGCAAGGAAGGAGTCTTTTTGTTTATTGCTCCAGTTAAAAAAAGAACCAAAGTAAGGGTGATATTGAAGGAGAAGGTCAATGATAGTATCTTGGAAATCCTTCATATCAGTGGAGACAAAAGAACCTATAATGTCATGATCAGAGCTTTCTGAAGGGTGAAGAATGATGTTGAAATCACCACCAAGGATCCATGGAAAAGAACCAATTCTAGAATCAAGGTCAATTAAGTGTTGCCATAGAAGCCTCCTTTGAGAGCCATCATTATAGCCATAGATTGCAGTAATATAAAAAGGTTGACCCTGAGAAAAGCCTTTGACTGTAATACTTTGGGCAGTAGAATGGCATAAAGAAAGATTAAGGCCTTTAGTCCAAAGAAACCAAATTCTTCTATTGAAAGCATAATCATAGTTAGTGAAGCAATTCCAGTTGCTAAACTTAGACATAAATAACTAATCAAACTTATCAGATTTAACCCTAGTCTCAAGCAGGCAGAGAACATCAATTTTGTAAAGAATAGCTCTTTCTAAAACTTTATTTTGTTTTTGAGGATTGTTAAATCCTCTGACATTCCAGAAGCTGATGATCATTGAGAAGAGGAGCCCGGATCATTCCCAATTACACTTTCTGAAAGACTTTTAGCTTTTATAAGATGTTCTTTTTTTTGAGGTCTTTGATCAATAAAGATACACCCAAAGAAGCAGACCTTGGTTTTCTATTAAGATCATCCAAGGAGGAAGAAGTTTCATCAACTGTGCTAAGGACCTCAAATCTGTTAGAGGATCCTTTGAGAGAATTCTTTGGTTTAGTCTTGACAGGTCTTCCTTTGCCTCTTTTTGAAAGAGAAATAGATTTCTTTCCTATTCCAGAAGGTGAAGTAGAAAGAGGACCTACTGCAGGGGGTCATTATCACTAGCTGGTAAAGATTCCTCTATTGTTGTAAGTAAAGATGAAGATTGCGCAACAACAGTGTCAGAAAGGCTCAGAGAATGATTAGGAGGTTCTTTACAAGAATCAGGATTGATTTAGGTTGAGAGAGTCCTTTCAGGAACCAGGGAGGATTAAGAGGGGTCCTCAGTGGTAAAAGAGGAATTAACAGGTTCCTTTGAAGAATCGCTATCTTTTGTAAGATCCGATTGAGAATTGTCAAGAGTAGAACCAGTATGAACAGGAGTGATGTTAGGAGCTAAAGGAAGAGAATCTCCTTTCATTCTTCAGACTTGAGAAGGATTAGAACCAACAGAAATTTTAGCCAAACATCATTTATCATTATGACCAAAAGTATTGCATCGTTTGCAGCTTGAAGGAAACCAAGGTACTTCTACGTAGACAGAAGTAGATTGGCCATTAGCAAGGATCACATCAATGGTTTTAGGAATTTCATCCTTTACTCCTACCTCCATATAGATTTTAGCAAATTCTAATCGTGTCTTTGAAGCTGTGATTGAATCCATCGAAAGAGGGATTCATATTGCACTAGCAATATAACTTAGACCCTCTCTTAAAAATAATTCAAGCGGAACATTATACAAATGAACCCATAAGGGAATGCGAGAAAGATCAAAGTGCAATCTAGCAGAGTTAGGTTCCCATTTCCTTAATATTAAAGGCTTGTTTAATATGTGCCAAGGACTATTTTCCATAACCCAATTTCTTGCAGAATCAGAATTGAAAGAGAATAGATATAAGTTACTGCCTGCGAAACTCACCTGGACGCGAATCCCCTTAGATGTGTTATTCCATAGATTCTCAATCATCCTCTGCATAGTATTGAAATTTGGTGCAGCCCCAAGGAATTGACCCACGAGTGAAGTCCTCCATTCGGCAATCCCAGCTTCATAGACTTCTAGAGGAGGCTGAACGATGGGGTTGGAATCGCGTGATTTTGGTTGGAAGAATTGAAGTGCATGCCCTTGTTGAAAGCCGAAAAGCTTTCTCCAATCCATCGGAGAAGAAGATAACACCCAGATAGAGAAAAATAAGTGATAACAGTGGGTGAAGGAAAGAGGACGCCTAAGAAGTACCGACGACCTAGGGTCCATTAGTCTTGCTAACGAACTCCCAGAGGAAACAAGCTATCGTGCGCCTCCAGAGATATATTTTAATATTTAATCGCAGATTGTGAATGCAAAGGAAAACAACATAAAGGAAATCATACCTTCAAACCCATTTTTTTCTATATAGGAAAGATGGATTAAACTCTAAAAGAGAGGACTCTTTGTTAATGTCATGTTTATTGGATAATGCTACAGGTTAAAAATTTAAATTTGAGTAACAAAATAGCAGAAAACACCATCGGCAAAATATGTGTTAGTTACGCTTGTATAACAAACGCCACTAAATACATACTCACTACCAGCGTTTTAGAAAAAAAATGCCACTAAAGTTCTAGATCTCTTGCGGCGTTTATACATAAAACGCCACTATAGACATAGTCAATAGCAACGTTTTAAATTTACAAACGCCGATATATGTCATGACCTTTACTGGCTTTTTGGGAACGAACACCACTATATGTCAGAACATTTAGCAGCGCTTTTTTAAAAATGCCACAAAAAAGATATATAGTGGTGTTTTTCAACAACGCCGCTAAATGTCATAACCTTTAGCGGCGTTTATGAAAACAACGCCGCTAAAAATCATAACCTTTAGCGGTATTTGTAGATGAAAAACGTCGCTACCTTTTGCGGCGTTGGTTTTAACGGTGCTTTTGGTGGCGTTTTTTCGCCACAAGGGTTTTTAGCGGCGTTTTTAAACGCCGCTATAACTTAAAAAACACTGGTAAAAACCTGTTTTGCTGTAGTGAAGTCATATTGACAAATAATTTTTTCAAAGTTAAAATTGGAACTTTTTTTTAACAAATTTCTTAATTTTTTTTTTATTTTTAAAGGGGAAACATTTTTCAAAAACAAATTTTCAAAGAGTTTTGTTATATCAAAAATGGAGAAATTGTTGAATTACGTTGGACTTAATTGAATTTTTCAAAATTCATCAAAAATAATTCAAAGTTCAAATTAACTTGAAAAATATGTTTTAAACATTTTTCAAGTTAGTCGAACCTTTTCAAAAATATACATGATCAATTTTGCCCTTTAAATTTGAGCTTCCAATGATTTTTGGCTCAAAGGATCGATCCCTTAACAAAAGGATCAAACCCCTTGAAAAATGATCATCCCCTTGGATTACAAAGACTTTTAGATCGATCCATTTACTAAAAGGATCGATCTCTCAATGAAAAGGATTGATTCGTTCTCTTGAAGGATTGATCCCTTTCTTACAACAATCAAAATATTTGAGAAATGATCGATCCCTTTAACAAAAGGATCGATCCTTTGTGCACTAAATGTTGGTTTTTTTTAGGTAATGACTATAATGACTCCTAACGGCTCCAAACAACTAAAATTGATAGAGAAGGTATATTATATTTAGGCTAAATGGATAGACTTTAAAATAAATTTAACTTGAACACTCATATTTTTTTTAATTTGGTTTAATTTACAATAAATGAGTTTCTTATGAAAAATTGAACCAAATTATAAAGTTAGGATATCTTAATCAACCCAAAATTCAAATTATAAAATTTAAATTTGAACCGAATTATATATTACGATTTGAATCAATTTTTTTATTTTTTAAGTTTCGTTTTTGAGCCATAAGTACTACAAATGCTCATTATATTTATAGGAGCGACTCTCCCAATTCAATTTATTCTATATATCATATCAAGATTCGAATATCTGACTTTACTTTATATTTTTATTTTTTCATTTTGAGTAAAACATATTATAATACCTAAATTAAGAAAAATGAATTAAATAATAAATAAAGTGAAACTTTAAGTGCGACTCTCCCAATTCAATTTATTCTATATATAATATCAAGATTCGAATATCTGACTTTACTTTATATTTTTATTTTTTCATTTTGAGTAAAACATATTAATAATACCTAAATTAAGAAAATGAATTAAATAATAAATAAAGTGAAACTTTAAGTTGAAGATCTTCCAATTCAATTCATCCCAACCTATGCGTGAGTAAAACACAATCAACTAGAAAATTTCTCCAAAAAGAAGAATGAAATTCGCCCACATACACACACACACTAGTTTATATGTAATTATCTCATGCTTCACGAAACCCAACTCATTGACTAAAAATATTATTTGACTAAAATTAAAACTAATTAATCTAAACTTGTCCGTTAGATTTCATGAACTTTTTGTTGCTTCTTTACTCCTGCAGCCTACAAATACTCTTTCAGCCATAAATTAATAAAGAACAACATATCAACTAATTGTCCAGGTGAAATGTGCGAAGTCTTTTTTTTAATGAAATAATATTTAGTACACTTCAAAAACATCTATCTAATTAAAATTAAATTTTGTTTTACAGCTAATTATTAAGTTGACTCTGACCAAATTGCTTAATGTCATTATTTAAAGAATTGTCACTTTAGTTTTTATACTTCAAAATTATGAAAACTGTAAAGTAACATCGTAAATTAAGTAACAATCAAAGTGAAGGTTTGTTAACGAAGGTTAAGATATTAATTAAATTAAATTTTAATGCATTAAATTTTATGTTATTATTTATTGTTAATAATTGTTTATAAATAGTGAGCATGGTATCAAAGTAAAGGTCCTATCCATACTCAAAGCTTAGTTTTCTTCACCTCATCTCCTTTTCTTTGTCCCTTTCCCAATGGCTAAATTTGTTGTAGTTTTTTTCTTGCTTCTCATTGTCTTGTCCATGCTTCAGATTATGGTGGGTGTTTTTTCCCCTTTTTCTCATTATATTCTAATATTAAAATTAAATTTTGAAAATTTTCATTTTATTTCTCTTCATTTATAGGTCTTGGCATCATATGACCCTACGAATCTCAAGAGTTACCGTAAGGAAACCTCAACTGATATCACAAATTAGTTATACATTGAACTTACTAAATAGCCTTAGGGCTAATAGGAATGTTCTCTTAAAAGCTTTAAGTTCGAGTAATTGTGTTTACAGAATGTGTATGTGTTGTTAATAATTAATAAAGGTTGTGAACATATACTATCTTGTATAATATAGAGATTTTGTTATAATATACATACTATAAGAACATGCGTAAGATTTTATGTTAAGAGATAAATTTATAAAATTTTAAGAAAAATATATACTAATTGAAAAAATTTAGAGCGGCATATATATTAAAATTTTAAGATGTACAATAATTGTTAATGTATTTGTGTAATAAATGACTGCTTAAATGAATGAAAAAGATGTACAAAAAATCTTCAAACACTTTCAGTGACCTTCCTGGTTCCGGCGTTATTTAAGGCCGCAACGCCATTAGGGCAGTACCTGCAAACCAGATTTGTACCGTTTATTCTTCTTTGTTTCGGTTTCAAAGATTTAAAACGAGAGCGAGAAACATATAAAAACTCAGAAAAAACGAAAAAAATATAAATTATTTACATTCCCATTTGCAGCAAAGTCTAGAAAGATGATAGCTTACATGGAACGAATCCTACAAGATACCGACGGGGAATCTAAACCCGATGATGATGTTTCCAGCTTATCTAAAATCCTTGACCTCCAAGGCAGCATCGAGAGCGGCGGCAGTACCAGCGTAGCCAGCAAAGATTTCGGCGGTCTTTATACGTCTGAGCCGTTGGCTTTGATTAAACCGACGGGAGCAGATGATATAGCTCGGGTCGTTAAAGCGGCGTCGCGGGCTCTTCACATGACGGTTGCGGCAAGGGGTAACGGCCACTCCGTCAACGGTCAGGCGATGAACGACGGAGGGCTCGTGATAGACATGCGTTCCACGGAGGAAAATCATTTTCAGCTCTTAACAATAGACGGTTCTGTCGTTATGGTCCCCAAATATCGAACGTAATGGAATTGGACGTTGTAACCGGAAAAGGAGAAATAACCGTCTGCTCCGAAACCCGAAATCCGGAACTCTTTTTCGGAGTGCTCGGCGGGCTGGGCCAGTTCGGTATAATTACCCGAGCAAGGGTTAAGCTTCAGACAGCTCCAGACATGGTGGGTTTCAGAGCATGAGTAACGCTTTTACGTACATATTCTAGGTTGTTCCACCAAGATGATTTCGTTTTATTTATGTGATTAGGTAAGATATATAAGGGTAGTGTACTCCGAGTTTGAGGCCTTCACTCGGGATGCTGAGTTTCTGGTGAGTCGGAAAGACGGTGAGTCGTTTGATTACGTAGAAGGTTTCGTATTTTCCAACAATGATGACCCAGTCAATGGTTGGCCATCGGCTTCACTTGATCCGGACCATGGGTTCAACCCAGCGCTTATCCCTCCGACCGCCGGCCCCGTCCTCTACTGCCTCGAAGTCGCTTTCCATTACAGCAACAGTGACCAGCTTTCGACCGTTGATACGGTAATATATAAATTTCGTTTTTGGCTTTTTTACATGGTTTTCATAATCGGACCGATTATGAAACCGATTATACTATTGGTTCACTGGTTCAATCGGTTGAATTAGTCCGATCGATCGGAAGAACTGGACGACGTCATAATTATTTAAAAAATTAAATAAAAATACCAAAAATATTTAATAAAAAATAATTTTTTATATCACAATTCATATTCAAAGCTAGTCATAACATATATAAGTTAAAAACCATAAAATCAAGTGAAACAAAATGATTCAAATTAACTACAACATAATATTTAAGGTAAAACATATTAAATAATAAATATAATTATATAACTATAATTAAAAAATAAATTTGGGGTTAAAAAATAATAACAAAATAATATGGTTTAATTTTTTTTAAAAACAATCTCAAATGGCTAAGAAACATAGAAGATCATCTCAACTAACTTCTATAAATAATAGAGGTAATTTGACATTCAAAATCATGGAGCCTTTTGGTAAGCATTGAGTGAACTATTCTTTCACTTCAATCAAGTTTGAATTTTAGGCTTCA